GCAGATTAAGCAAGCAAAACATGTCTAATCGATTGTAGAGTAAGCTTATGTTTAAGCCATCTATTTAGATTTTGACTCGCATCTTACTTGATTCCATCAATGTGGTTCGATAATTTTTGGTGTAATTTCTAGTAATAAATAGTGGGCATCTCTTTGGAAGGTGAATCTGCGATTCATAAGCATCGTTTTCCGCTAATACAAAGACAAAAGACGTTTCATGCGCACAATGTTCTTGTGGGTTCGTCTCAAGTAAGCAAAAAGACAACAAGCACTCAACTCGAATGTTTGTCCAAATCAAGAACCGCTTGTCGGAGAGCGTGGAAAATATTAATAATTATTAGGGAACATAATTTAAAAAACCTAAATTTGGCAGAATTTCTAATGATCTACCAAAAGTAGAAAGCGCTTATGATCTTTTTCCCATTTTGAGATCTCAAGATGTAAAGTGGTAGGATTTAAAAATGAGAAATGATTAAGTCACAGCCCGTAATCTATTGTGACATTAACAACATGTTTTGGATTACAAAAAATAAATAATAAATAATTATAAATTGTTGTAGGGTCCACTCTTTCAAGAATTTATAGCTCACAACATTCTGTTACTCTTGTAATGGCCCAAAGACTATTATGCTAGCAACTTTAAAAATAAATTGTCGATGGTGTGGCATAACGTTCAAAAGTTAAATACAATACTATATCAAATTATGTTTCAATACCATCAAAAACCCCAAAATGCTACATCAATGCCTCATTTGCCCGAAACTTATTTTGTGTCGTAAAAACTCCTGAACTAATACATCCGTGTCACATTTATCCACATGTACCATAATTACCCCCAAATTAATTTTTGTAACACAAAAAATTCCAACCTGTTAAACATGTGCTACATAACCCCAAAAAATCGCAAATTTACCACAATTCTAGGTACATGTATATCAGTTTGGAATAAATATGGCATGGGTGTATCAGTTTGGGATTTTTTGTAATACAAAAATTAATTTTGGGTAAATGTGACACGGGTGTATCGGTTTGTGAGTTTTTGTAATACAAAAATTAGTTTGAGATGAGTGTGGCACGGGTGTACCAGTTTAGAGTTTTTTGTGGTATTGACCCGATTATTTTTTGTAAAAAAAGTTGAGTTGCTAGGTGCTAAGAATATATGTAAGATTAATGTATTTTTGTAGAACTCAAATATGGTTCAATCTCGACATTACGTCACATAAAAGCCGATTCCATGAAAGATAGGTAAGTATATGGACAATAATGAAGTTGAATTATTTATGTGTATTCAATAGTGAAGAGACTGTCCTAAACAAAGACTTATCAATGAGAAAAATAATTTATATTTTCAATAATGCAAATGGAATTTAATTTAATGTGCCACAACATATTAATAGCTACATTTCTTAATTTATTTTGTTTCTACAATTGAATCAAATATTTTTTTAATCTATCATATTGATAGCAACTTTTTTTATATAATAGATACTGTCATTCAAGCTAGAAACATTACGTTGTAGCATGCGTTTAAAATATAAATCTAAAGACTATTTCAACTGATAAGTAAACCAAATTATACAATGATAGTCTCAATTTTTGTCAAGAGTCATTCTTGGATGTGACATACGTGCATATATTCGTTTTGTAATCACCCTATCACCCCTAAAGCAGTGTTCGTTTAATTTTTTTCGTTTTTCTATAGCAATATATTCGAAAAAACCATATAAAAATTAATAAACTAGAATATAAAGGGTGCGGTACCATTGTAATAGAAAGGCATGGACAAACTTTTAGCAAGTAATAGAGCCCCCTGAGCAAAACCCGAATAAGAAAATTAAGTTTTGTGATGTTATTACTGTGACATACCAAGTCTCACTTCGGATACAAAAAGAGTCGTGAGTACTTTTCTTAGGAGATCAACTACCGCAAAATGAGCCGGGTTGTTCGGATTAGTTGTAACGCACAGCAGTTTCACTTTCTTCTTTTTCTGATATTCATTTTGGGTGTATTTACTTCGTGAAAAATGATTAATTTGAAAAGTATTTTCCTAAAAATAACCGATTGTATCGCTTACGAAGATGAATGAACGAAAATTATTTTCACTATCCACCAAAATGTTTAGATATAAAGTATTATTGATAATAAGAATATTTTTTATCGACTAATTATTTCAAACAATACAAATTTTCAGAAAAATATTTTTCAAATTATTTATTTTCTACGAAACAAAACAGAGCCTTTAGTCTCTTCCGTTTTTTTCTTTTCTTTTTTGGCTAAAAGATAGCAAAGACAAAGCTTGTTGTCTAAACATCCAAGGAGATTAGGTCAAGATAATTTCTTTGTTTTTGCAGTAACGTGTAGTGGGGATTGCAGTAAACTCTGTGTCTGTGAGGGTGATTAGTGAGTGCTTTGCTTAAATCAATGAATGTACTTGCTACATGCTTCATCCGAGCACTATGTACCATTATAATATCGGGGTGTGATTCATAAGGTACGAAGATTTCGTCTATATATAATATTTTTCTCTTATAATTAAAAATTAGACTAAAAAGATAATAAGTGCTTATTTTATATTGAATATAATCCTATTTTAAGAGTAAATCGAAATAAATTTTGTCTCAATATTTCTTTTTTATATTTACTTTTTTGTGTTTATACGTCTCGTCCTAACACATCAATCAAGATAGACTTCAGAAATGCATTTACATCCCCAAAGCCACACGTCGGCTTCTGCTCTTTCATCGTTCCTGGTGTTACTGCGATCTGTCCAGTCCTTGTTTTTGGTTCCAAGAACCACCGAGATTCATGAAATGAGGGTGGTCATACGAAAGAGTTGGTGACGATTGGGCTTGGAATTTGGGACCCCTCGCTTTCTGCTGCGCCGATTCACGAGGAGGTGTCATTGCATATATTTTCTTAGTCATTCGATTGACATAGTTAAAATTGATATCCATGCATGCAACACGTGATATTTGTCAATTAATTTTTTATTGTTTTATTGGTCAGATGCCATAAAAGATTCAAGCTTAAACTGACAAAAATAACTCTAATTTTCAAGCGGCTCAAATATTAACATAAATTTTTACTGGAAGAATAAAAACATCTACTGGATTGAATTTTTTAAGAAACACGCAATTTTAAATCTAGAACGATGATATCCACACATTTCAAGCTACCTAAAAAATCATAAATTTTAAATAATAGAAAGTTTTATTAAGTTCTTAGTAGCAATTGGCGACTCTTTCTTCTTTTGCTTCGCATTTTTTTTTGTCTCCTTCGTAGCCTAGAAAAATCACATTATATATATGAACAAAGCAAAAGAGCTTATCTGTATTTTTGTTAAAAGATAGCTAGTAGTTTTAGACCTGAACGTATTCGAGTGATCTAGTCTTGAATCTCATCATTTGTATTATCGGAGATACCCATAGCATAGCTTATAATTAGATAGGCAGAGTTATCAAAAAAGTCAAGTGGCTGAGGAAATTCTCTACCTTGGACAGTCTCTCTCAAATGCTTCTTTTTTTTATTCTAGTATTGAGCGAAAGGTTACACCTATGGATTATGTATTTGTGGAGGTAAAAGGTCATGCTTTTTATGATATTATGTAATATATATATATATAGAGCAAAAATTGCTTCTTTTGAATCGATTAAAAAATGTATGAATTCATTCTTTTTGGCATTTGGCTTTTCTTGATGATCTAGAGAATATGGAAGGAAGCGACCGGCATCAACAATCCTCTATGAATTAGCGTAGGTATTCACTACATGTAGTGAAAAAATTCTGTTTAAGCCATATCACTGATTTGCCAGAGCAAGTCTGTTATGGTCACATCATCGAATGCAAGTTGGGATAAAATCACAATTAATTTCCGCCCAATATACCTTCGACGAACCAATACTTCTAGAGATTGAAAAGTAATTGGAAAATTTGAAACCATGATAACGGGGTCACCAAATCACATGAAACTAAATCGTAATTTTTCAAGGGTTAATACAATTTCAAATTCCAAATCGTTATTTGTGACACTGACACATTTACCTCAACTTTCACCTCACAAAAAATAGCAAATCGGTACTTCAGTGACACATTTATTCCAAACTAATTTTTTTCCTCATGAGAAATCCCAAATTGGTATCCCAAATTAATTTGAGGGTAGATATGTCATAGAGTACCACTTTAGGATTTTTTGTGCGACAAAAAAAATTAAAGTTCGGTTAAATGTATCATGAGTTTTTTGAGATCTGACTTGGATAGTGAATTTAGGGTAAGTGTATTGTGAGATTACCAATTTGAATTTTTCGTGATCGGAAAATCAATATGAGGGCAGATATATCATAGGATACCATTTTGGGATTTTCTGTACAAAGAAAGTTAAGTTAGGATAAGTGTATCGAGAATAGTTCGAGATCTGACTCGAAAAGTGAATTTACGGGGAAGTGAGCTGTGGGATTACCAATTTGAGATTTTCTGTGATTCGAAAATTAATTTGAGGATAGATATGTCATGAAAATACCAATTCGGGATTTTTTTGCGTGACGAAAGTTAAGTTAAATTAAATATATCGGGGATACCGGTTTGTAATTTTTTACTACTGTTTGCCCTCAATTTCAACCAATCTTTTGAGAGGTGGTGAAGAATCAAAATTTCACCTTGTGAGGAGGATAACAAGAAAATCTACCAAAGTCAAATCTGCTTTTGTCTTTTCATTCTTCCCCATGATGTCCAATTCACATTTACAATGGCACCCCCTGTTCTGCCTGCTCTCTCCAATGTCCTATGATCCCTATCTACCTTCCCGTCCTCTGTCCCCACCCTTCCTCCTTTGACCGGCGAACCTTCCCGCCACCAAACACTCCCTCCACCGCCTCCAGCCACCTCCTCCTCCTCCCTCTCTCTCTCTCTCTCTCTAGACTCTCTCTCAACCCACTTTCTCTCTCTCTCTCTCTTCACCCCTCTCTGTTTTCCTCTGCCACCTTATAAAAGACCACCCGTCTCCGCTCTCCTCCGCTTGTGCATCCCCCTGCTTCCTTCCTTCCTTCCTTCCTTCCTCCCACCACCTCCCTCTCTCTCTCTAGAACTCCTGATCAAGAAAGCAAAGTTCAGAGAGAGAGAGACAGAGGAACCAAGTAAAGCATGGCCCTCGCGAACACCTCCGCCCTCTCCTCCAAATCGCTCTACAGCGACATGCACGCGCTCCTCCACCAGCCCCACCACCAGCCGGCGGCTCTGTCCCTCGCCGCCGCCGCCGCCCCCAGGACCCACCAGAAGCCCCGCCCCATCTCCGCCGTCCACGCCGCCGAGCCCGCCAAGGCCAAGGCCGCCGCCGCCGCCGTGACCGCCAAGCCCGCGGCCCCGGCCGACGGCGGGAAGTGGGCGGTGGACAGCTGGAAGGGGAAGAAGGCGCTGCACCTGCCGGAGTACCCGGACGCGAATGAGCTCGAGTCGGTGCTCCAGACGATCGAGTCGTTCCCGCCCATCGTGTTCGCCGGGGAGGCGAGGAACCTCGAGGAGAAGCTCGGGGAGGCCGCCATGGGGAACGCGTTCCTCCTGCAGGGCGGCGACTGCGCCGAGAGCTTCAAGGAGTTCAGCGCCAACAACATCCGGGACACCTTCCGGGTGCTCCTCCAGATGGGCGTCGTCCTCATGTTCGGAGGCCAAGTGCCCGTGATCAAGGTAATAAAAATGTTCTCTGTCTTTCTCTTTTGTTTCTTTTGGCTGATTTGGCGATTCGTGCTGTCATTGTCGTTTAAATTTGAGGTTTGCATTGCAAAGGATCGGATCATCGTTGAAGCTTTCGACTCCATTTAGATGGGGTATCTAGGATGAGTTTCAAGATCTTGTGTAAGAATGCGCAACATCAAGCTGTTTCAAAAGCTTGAATGTTTGAAACGGATCGCTTTGTTTTTAGCTATAGTTATCAGGGGGACCGGGTGCATCCGGATCTTATCTCGACCGACGAATCTGGTCTGTCTTGTTGGGACTGTTCTAGATGCATCTGCATGCATGGCGATAATCAGCCGTCTCTAATGTCGTACGACGGGCCAAAGTGAGGTTGCCCTGGACAGGGAAATCTTGATTTGTGCAGAGATTTTGTTTTCAATTATGTCGTGTAAAGACCAAAGATCTAAAAATTGGGATCTAGCTAGGTGAGAAGCTCATCATATGGATCACTAGATCTGAAACTGTACATTAGACCACACCAGAGATGATTGTCTGTCCTTGATGTACATAATTGGGTGCTAAATTTTAACTGGGAGATTTGTTGCTGCCTTGGCTTTCCATTTTGGAACTCGGATTTAGAATTTGGCTTGATATGACTTCATGAGGATGAGTTCGAGCCGAATAATTGATGGGATTTGCGGGTATGATTTGCTCAGGTGGGGAGAATGGCGGGACAGTTTGCAAAGCCGAGATCTGACCCGTTTGAGGAGAAGAATGGGGTGAAGCTGCCAAGCTACAAGGGGGACAACATAAATGGTGATGCCTTCAATGAGAAGTCGAGAATTCCTGATCCACACAGGATGATCAGAGCTTACACTCAAGCCTCGTCGACTCTGAATCTCTTGAGGGCCTTCGCCACTGGAGGCTACGCTGCCATGCAGAGAGTTACCCAGTGGAACCTGGACTTTGCTGAGCACAGCGAACAGGGGGATAGGTATAAAGCTCATTCTCTTGAGAATCTCGTATCCGAAGATCACTTTGCTTTTGCCAAGTATCAGCATTCAAATGGCAAAACTTCATTTAATTGATTTTGGGAATGGTGAACAGGTATCAGGAGCTGGCTCACAGGGTCGACGAGGCCTTGGGGTTCATGGCTGCAGCTGGGCTCACGGTTGATCACCCAATCATGACCTCAACCGAATTCTGGACCTCTCATGAGTGCTTGCTTTTGCCTTATGAGCAATCTCTCACCCGACTCGATTCAACCTCCGGCCTGTACTACGACTGCTCTGCTCACATGGTTTGGGTCGGAGAGCGCACCAGGCAGCTGGATGGTGCCCACGTCGAGTTTTTGAGAGGAATTGCCAATCCCCTTGGAATTAAGGTGCATTGTTAAATTAGTCATAACTTGGAACTCTCGACTAGTATGGCACTGCATGCAGCATGGAATTGTCGTGATAATCTTTTACTTTGATGTGACTTATTTAATTGTGCTGATTTCGACTTTCTTGGGCTGGCCGATTTACTGTTATCTGGTCATTGACTTGCTAACGTTTAAATCTGTTTCAGGTAAGCAACAAGATGGATCCCAATGAGCTTGTCAAGCTCGTCGAGATCCTTAATCCGCACAACAAGCCCGGAAGGATCACAGTGATCTGTAGGATGGGTGCCGAGAACATGAGAGTCAAACTCCCGCATTTGATCAGGGCAGTCCGAAGAGCCGGACAGATTGTGACTTGGGTTTGTGATCCAATGCACGGAAACACAATTAAGGCACCTTGCGGGCTCAAAACCCGTGCCTTCGACTCAATTCTGGTGAGGACTCTTCCATAAATACATTTTCTTTGCAGCAATATACTTTGAACGGTGCCATAATGCAATGTGTTTGTGATCGGTAGGCTGAGGTGCGGGCCTTCTTCGATGTCCACGAGCAAGAGGGAAGTCACCCAGGAGGTGTTCATCTGGAAATGACGGGTCAGAACGTGACCGAGTGTATCGGAGGGTCCCGGACTGTGACGTTCGATGATTTGAGCTCACGCTACCACACGCACTGCGACCCGAGGCTCAACGCTTCTCAGGCGCTCGAGCTATCTTTCATCATCGCAGAGAGGCTCAGGAAGAGAAGGATGGGGACGCAACGGCTTCTCTCCTTGAGCGTTTGAGCCGATTCAACCGTCGCCATGTCTTCTCGCTCGATCGAGGTTCCGGCGACAATTTCGGTTTAACTAGATGTCGATCGTTGTGTTACTAGAAATAGGTGCATCGTTTAAGCAAATCTGGGATGGGAATGTTGTGTGTTTACTTTGGTATGGATGTTCTGCGAGACTATCATTTGAGATCATTGACGAAAAGCAATAAAATCATGGGCCATTGTGGCATTTGAAGTTGAGTGAGTGCCCTTGTTTGAAACTGGTCTTTGTGAAACTTGGACTGTAAGCCATTTCGTTTAATGTCTTAGAACACTACTTTCAAACAACTAGATAAAAAAAATTAAATGAAAAATATTAAAAGTTTTTAAAGCATCGGTCTTTGATATGTTTAATTAATAAATTTTTTCTAATGGACTTTACATGACACTCATATGATCAACGATTGTAATTAACTCGATCGAAGTAGATTAAGATTTAGGCCCTTTCGACCAAAAAGAAAAAGATTAGGATCTAGACCCTTGTCCCTATTCAATGTTAGATATGTTTCCAATCACCTATTATCCATGCATGAAGATGTTATGTTAGTAGATAAGTCTCTCGTAATCTAAAACAAACACAACGCGTTTAACAATCATATGGGTGCCATTGAGCTACCATCTCGAGCGACCTTAAACTAGGACGACGAGCTTTCATCCGAATGCGGGGCACGCCCTGACCCAAGCGCGTAAATATTGTCCTGTCTGCTAGCTCGGCCGTCTGCATGTTCTACTCATCGTGAATCATAATTTGATGAGACAACCAACCAATAGAGAAAATCTCTTCCTTAATGAGAACCTTAGTGATGTGATTCGTGACCTTTAGGTGCTCCTTGACGTATCATCTTACCTCAATCAATGCCGGAAACACCGTGTGCCAATCAAAGCTGAATTTCTTGTGGTCTGCTCCCTGGTGAAAGCAGAGTCGACCTTGACTGGTTGTGCGTGGTCTCGCTTCGAGGAAATTCACAGCATCATTTGAGGTCTGCTTCCTTGGAAAAGCAGAGTCGACCTTGACCGTGTGTGGTCTCACTTCGAGGAAAATGGGGAATTGCACGCGTCAAGGCAGCGTTTTCCACGGAAGTTCCGCGTTCATCTCGTCGCGCTTGTCGTTATATATTTTGGAAATGGAAACAGAGAGTGAAGACGTAGACATCAGAAACCGTCTGGACAATACACAGATGACTCGACTTTTCTGTATGTTGTCGTTTTTCATGTTCTGCACTGTGCTCACTTGACCTTACTAGTAGCAGCAGCATTGGTTTTTTATTTTATAGAAATATCCTGCGTCGCTCGGCTATAGATTTTATAGGTTATTTATACACATGCGATTTCCATCTATTTATCGGTTTAAACTTTTGGTTTAAACATTTTAATATGATATCGGAGTCAGGTTTATTCTCTGGTCTATATGCTTTTTATACACATATACTCTTTCTTCATCTATTGGCTTAAATCCTACTACCTCCTATGATAGACCCAAATATCACTTTTGACTCAACAACCGGAAAGTAGTACAAAAAGACAAGTCTATAACCAAGATGCAAGCATGAGCATTTTATATCAAGTTAGTGAAAGTAACTTATAAACATAAATTTTCATGAAGTATTATGATAAAGGAAGAACCATTTTCCTAGTTTTTCATTTATTTAATAGTATAGGGAAAATGATTTCCTTCTTACTAGAAGGATAAGTCATTTTCCCCATATCTAAATTCGTTGTTCTCAGTCCACGGAAGACTTTTTTCATGCATCGATTAGTTTACCATCATTTAAATATCGGAAAGTCGGAAAACAATTTCCCAGAAACAGTTTTCCTTCAAACATTGAAGTGTGACAAGATATATCTACTACAACTATAACGATCCAAACCAGAGATTCACCAATAGTGACGCGGAGAATAGATCTATACTTTTAGCTAACGTTACTAGCGAAAAGGGTATTATACTACTTAAACATGAAGAAGCATTTATCCCGAGCGATCTATAACTTCAAGTGACACATAGATCATCTGATACACCAAAAAAAAAATAGTTCTTGCAAGACCTTTTTGCACTGTAACTGCTAACCTACCTACCGTCTCTGAAAGGGAGAGGTGCTACCGGAATGCCGACTTCGCTAGGGACTAGTTAGCGATAACTACCCAAACGGTTCGAGCACGATTAACTTTTCAATTAAATCCGTGCAATTATAATTTAATTTCCTAAAAATTTACATGTTGCATATGCCCATTTGCTTTATTCATGTTTAACTATTGGTGGTGTCATCTCTATAAGATTCAATTGTCTGTTTACCTTATTCATGTTTGTTGCTGTAATTCCTAAACTGCTGCACATGATCTGAGGATGATGAACCTTTATACCGTCATATTAGCACTAGACTGCATCGCCTCATCCATCACACCACCACAGTTTGTGCACCGTTTTTGCTGGTATCATGTTGCTTGCACTGTGAATGAATTACATGCTTAGCATAGAGATCTTCATCCAGGCAAATCTCTCTTGAATGTTGAATCATTTTCTTATTTTCAGTCCTCGAACAAGCATAGCTCCTAAATAGCACCATGTATTCCGTAGTCCGATCCAAACTAGATCTAAGATGAGAATGGCACGAGAAAATTCCTCGGCCAGCGGCGCCCGGTTCCTCGCCCTTGAGAAGAACTTAAGGGACCTCTCTGTTAAGTTTGACAAGCCGTTGGACTTTGTTTCTTCGAATATGGCCATGCACTCCGAGACGAACCAAGCTGCTGGTTGTGTGCCTTCCGGCAGTGATACCAGTTAAGGATCAGGCTCCGCCAGACCCGGGGACAACAGCTCATGGGTTCCGGAAGCTGAAAGAGGAAGAGGAAGGGAAAAGGGCAGCTGAAGAGAGAAGGTTGAAGAGATCACGATCCAATATTTAGGAAACCTAGTGTAGGTTGCACAAGTAGGTGGCTAATATGATCCGAATATAATACTTATGACAAGAAAAGAGCGTCTCTTAGAAAGAGATTTTCAGGTGTTTATAGAACACAACGTTCCTATCCACTCAAGCCAATTACTGCATGCGAAGTGTTATCATATTGAAAAGAAAAAAAAAAAAGAAAAATCATAATACTTGATGCGTGATGATTGACTTGAGCAAATAGTGCTCAAAAAACATATGAAAATTCCTAGCGAAGAGAAAAGCTAATTCTATTTTATACCAGAAAGGATACCACACCATTCGAAAATCAGATAAGCCCTTTCAAATTCTTGAAGGATGGTGATTTCAGTGGTTGTGGGCTTTATAAGACTTCTAAGATCCATATACTTTCCGTGGAGACTCAAAGATTCATGAACCTTACCACTATAGTATACGCGATTTATGTCCACGATGGAGTTGACCATGATATAAGGTGAAGTTTCTGGACTGATATGAGGTCGATGTTATCCCAATGAGACATAATGGATAGGACTTTGGACACAGATCAAGTTTTAACTAGAGAACTTTGATGATGTTGGTTTTGAGATCAAGCCCAACATATTTTTATGGGCTCCTTTAACTTGACCAAGAATGTCCAAAGAAGCCTTCCACCGCTCGACCCAAGAATTAATTGCTTTACTAAAACATTATAAATCCAATCGTTACTTTTCACCCTTTGATAACTTTCCATCCCAATTACTTTTTGAACAGTCAATTTACACTTTGAGTTTTGCTACTAGAATTGGACTTTGAAAATTGTGCCTAAGTGTGAAGTTATTGCATGGTTTATATACCATATACACCAAGTGTATCTACATCATCGATCATTTAGGTCCCACAATATTCTTTTTGCAAATAGAGGATCGTGATCTCATATAAGATGTTGATCTGACGAGCAAATGGAGAGGGAGACCAAGAAAGCAGAGACCAGGGATTGATTGATCGAGCTTCTTGATTCAAAAAGAGAGAACAAAAATGAAATGAAGAGTCTCCCCAGTGATGTGTTGATTGATCGAGCTTCTTGATTCTAGTGTAAGTGGTTTACTTGCTATATGTTGGGTTAATATGTATTTATCGTGTGAGATATTGAATACGGGCTTTGCAAATTACTAATATCATCTACTTCGAGCACGATATTGATTTTTGTGCACAGTGGGAACTAAGTGCCATGCGAACAAAGTGCTATCACGTGAGAGCCACCTTTTGAATCTTGTAAGGGCAAAGTGTTACATAGCGATAGCCATCTCTTGAAGTCATGGGGCCACCTCTAGAATCCTACTATTGCAATTATCAGTGTATATTGGTGGGGTTAGCTATATTGTATGCATTACCGAATAGCATTTGTTTGATGTATTATCAATAAGCATTTCCTATCGCAAGAATATGAGGAGAAGGACACTATAAGTGCCAAAAATTGTATACGGCGCTCATTTTAGTGTCAAAAATTTTCACCGGATCACTTAAGTGTCAAATCGGAGAAAAAACGATCACTTAAGTGCCAACGGCGAGAAATTCCGACCAAAATTTACACGTGACTTTTATAATAAAAAAAAAGGTGACGTGGCATATTTTGAAACTCAATCCACGTGGACTTGGAAAATGCTATCGTTTTTCTGTCCGCCATGGCTCCAACAAACGAAACGACGTCGTATATAGCCTCTGGCCAAAACAAGGTCGCTGGAGGTGGATGAAATTAGGGTTTTTGAGGCAGACCATCCACTTCCTGAGGAATGCAGGAGTCCCACCGCGATTTTCCAATATCTCCATACATAAAAAATCCGACTTCTGTCGCTCGAGTCTCTTGTAGATCTCGATCTCCATTTGATCTGACACTTTGTTCCGTTTCCTTTTCTTCTTGATCTGGCTCTATTTGTTTCCGTTCGCTGTGCGTCCTGCATCATCTTTTCGATTCGAATTTTTTTTTGGGGCGTTTTCTTCTTTGAATCGAGGAGTGAGTTGTTTTGTGGAGAATGAGGGAGGGGGGTCTTGTCTAGGGGGCTGAGCAGATGATGAGAAACGATGTGATTGAATACTAATTGCTTCTGCCCTTCATTTGCAAACTTGAGCACTTAATTTGGGAGGCAAACAGAAATAGGGTGAATTCGACCGGTTAGGATTTTCAATTTGGGGATTTAGAGTTCTTATTTGGGGGAAATAAGTTACACTACGTCGTTTTCAAGTGTATATGCTAACTAAACCTTCCGGCGAGCCACGTCGGCATAAGATACTAATAAAAAAAAGCCATGTCGGATTTCCGGCCAATCAAATCGGAGTTGGCACTTAAGTGATCGTTTTTTAAAAAAATTGACACTCAAGTGATCCAAAAGAAACTTTTGGCATCAAAGTGAGCGCCGTATACGACTTTTGGCACTTGTAATGTCCTTTTTTCCCAAGAATATGTGATGAATAACTTGCTTAGTAGGTGATGTGTTTTCTTGGTATTGAGAGCAATTTAGCAATAGTGATTGCAGGTCTATTTGGATTGGGGAGATAGAAAATCGAGGTCCTGGAATATGGGAGTACACGGCGCAAGCTGGGTGAACTTAGGGGTGTTCCATTTTTTGTTATTAGTTTAGGTAGTCGGAGTGATAAGGTGGCTTTGAGAATTTAGATTAGAGAAATTTTGAGGACCAGCTTTATTTAGCGGGAGGAGAATGTGAAGACTCGGGTTTTTGGCGACTGATTAACAGGAGGAAAATCATTTACGGTCAAAGAAAACATACACGCTTCAAGTTAGGGAAATGAATTTCCTAACCTAAAAAAAAGAAAATATTTTCCCGAAAAATTGTTTCTAGAAAAGTATTTTCTTTTATCATGAAGTTTTTTTCGAAACAAAAACACTCTAATACTTATTGTGCCATTGAACGATTATATTGAATAAAAATTCTTTCTAGGCGACACATTTTCGTCAATTCGTCAATTTTACTAACATTAGTTAATTAGATCTGAATTTCCGTTTCTAGCGAAAAAAAAAGAAAATCTGAATTTCCTTTTTCCGAATATAAATCACAAAACTCTTCCTTTTCTGGAAAAAAGAAAGGAAGAAATAAAAAAAATAAAAAAATCGTCCTGAGCTAAACCTTCCATCGCCTTATTCATGTACTCTCCCGTTTCTGTGCCGAAGCTCGTCGCAGAGACCACGGATTCAGCTGTGTGAGGCTCGAGGAGAGAGAGCGAGGATGGAAGAAGAAGAGCACGAGGTGTACGGCGGAGAGATCCCCGTGGAGGGCGAGATGGAGGGCGACCTGGACGCCGCCCACCACGCCGACGTCGACATGTCCACCGCCGACGACGACGCCGTCAAGGTCCCTCCCTCTCCCTCTCTCTCTCTCTCTCGATCTTGATCTCGATGCCCCGCGTGGTTTTGTGGCCGTGTGTGTTGTTCGATCGTCGGAAGATGCTCTGGGTGATGGATTTTTTCATCTGGGTGTGTTTTTTTTTTTCCTTTTTTGTGATGGGTGGGACGATGCAGGAGCTGGATGAGATGAAGAAGAGGCTGAAGGAAATGGAAGAGGAGGCTGCTGCCCTCCGCGAGATGCAAGCCAAGGTCGAGAAGGAAATGGGTGGTGTCCAAGGTTTCCTTTTGTTTTGTTTTCGGGCTTTTTTGTTTAGGGTTGTTTGATTGGTATCTGGGTTTTCTTGGATCTCCTACCTAACCCTTGATTTGTGGATGCTGAAGTCTGGTGGAAGAGCGGGCTCTTGCCGTTTCGGTTGTTCTTTCTCTTGTTGTCTTGTGATTCTGTTGGTTACTTGCAGCAGTTTATTCTTTACTGGAATTTGTTGTCTTTTTGTCCGCTTGACGCTTTATTTCATCGATTTGGTCAGTCGCGAAAGATAGATTTGGCATAAGGATGGAACATGTTTCGCCTTTTGGAATATGGGTTTCGTAGATAACAGACTTGTCTTTTGATGTAGCATTGGCTTAATAGTTGTGATTTGCTCCCATACTATATTCAGAGAATTCTCTGGATGGAGAGAAAATGAACCATCACTTTAGAAGACCTACTGATTCCACTGGCATGCTTTTCGATGAATACTTGCTTTTTCTTTCTCTGGATGATGGATAGTTTGTTCAAGTCATTGTGCGTATGCTTGCCTGCATTTGTCACTTTGGGCATTGAAATTATGCACATATTATGCTCAGATTTATCGTTTGTGTTGGACCTTGTTTGACTGTTTATTTGTTTGTGTTTTCTAGACAATCGGATTTATATTCTAAGATTCATTTTTGGAACTCTGCCTGAACTAAGTGCACAAAACTGTTTTCTTCATATTTCTGTGTTGACGCTGTGTGGTGATTGTCCAATTTCACAGATCCTGCTAGTGCAGCTGCTTCTCAGGCAAGCAAGGAGGAAGTCGATTCCAGATCTGTGTTTGTTGGAAATGTGAGTTTGACTGTTATTTCTTGGCAGTTTTTTGGCTATCTTGCTTACACTTTTCTTGATAAAGGATATGAGCTCGCGTTAGCTATTAGAGTTTGCTTTTGTTCTTTGAAATGTTTGAGGGTTAGCTATGCGAGTTTGATTTTTTCTCATTAAATGTTCCAGTTATTTTTACCATTCAGACAGTTATTTTCTGGTGATGATGATGATTCTGACAGTTCTCTGATGGTATCTCATCATGATTTTTCCTTCAATACATTTTGCACTTTATCCAATCTTTCTGTAAATGGGATGAAGTTCTTATATTTTATTGCATATACTTCTACGTGATAGTTTCCTCAGTTCATGCTTGTCTGTGCTGACACGTTTGCTTGAAACGTGAGCAGGATATTTCACCTATTACAGTTACTGTGTTTTTAGAAAAATAAGGATTTTATTGATATAGAACTTAATAATTAAGATGTTTATTTTCCTGAAGGTTCTCTCTTTCCCTTCCAAGAAAAACATTTCTGGGTATGGAGGTTATTGACTATTGCAATCCCACATTGCATTTAAAATGATGTACATCTGTGCTTGGCAAAGTATACCCAGGGGTTGTGATGACGAAAGAAATTTAGAACGATAAATCTCAGATCTAAGAGGAGCAAAGTAAACTTAACCACGCACTTTGTGATGATCTTTTTTGGTTTGCTTGTGAATGGGTTGCCAATGGTGGAAGATGGTTATATTCTTATTGCAGTTGAATAAATTATGTTTGCTATGGTTGTTAGTGGTGGCGTAGTATTTAATTCTAGTTTTTTGTTTTATTGTGTTTTTTAGTTTTTTGCTAATGGATGTTTAGTTCTGGTTGCCAGATTTCCTTTAGTAATATTTTGGTGTAGACACGAAACGAGTGTTAGTTAGGATGAGACTGGTTCATTGGATATGTAGATTCTCAAAAAGGGCGAGTAGGGAATTATCTTTTCTACAAAAAAAAAAATATAGAGCATTAGTTCAATCTACATCGAAGAGACTATATTAGGTAAGAAAAACTCCTTTATGGGTGGTTTGGAATTTCGAAAGAGGACATTTAGCTACTTGAGTGGGAAGCTGTTATTCTTGCACAAGGCAAAATGATTTGGGTAGAAAATTTCTTTGAATGTTGTCATATTGCACAAAATGGCATAAAATGCTGCACACTAACATTCTAGGATCTATAAAACAGACTCTGCTTTTTGAAGAAACGTTCTATGCCAGTGGTGGTAGTCTTGGCGAAAACCAGATTTTGTTATCTAACTTTTTACTTAATTCTTTCCTGGGTATCAAACTTTATTTACTGAATTGGATCATATGATTCTACAAATCGTATTATTTAGTGTAACCTTTAACTTTTGTTAGCAAGGTACATTGGCCCAACAAGCGGCAACGCAGCTTTTACTGCCAGCTAGAGTCTTCAGGAAGGAACCAAGATTGCCTAGTTCATAAGCTTTTTTCTCCTAAGACTGATGATTTCTTCAATACAAGAAAACCAACAAGAAATCAAATATTAGTTCGACCGACACCTAGATATACTAATAGTGATAATTTTTAATAAAATTACTAGATTCGACTTAAACGGTATAATAGATAAAGCTGAAAGTATCCAATATTATGAACACAGAAAGAAATATATAGAGAAATATAAACCCTGCTGTATCTACCTTGAAGACTTCACAGCTGAAGAGGCATCAAGAGGAACCCAGGAGACCTTCCATCCTCTCAAAAGATAAATGACTGACAAACTTTAACTAACTTCGCGCTTTTAAGACATGAAGGGAAGTGCCTGAAAAGAATCACTCTTTAAGGGGTGTTTGGTATGAGTTCCACTTTGTACTTTTTTGCTTTGTTAAAAATTTTCTTGCTGCTTCCGAAATTCAAACATCATTCAATTTTTCAAGACATACATGTAGAGTCTTTTTAAATCTTGTCGTAATATTTTAGTTTTTTTTTATTGTAAAATTCTGAAGGGAAAGCAGTAAATCCTTTTTTTTTTCTAAGCCCTAACAAGTGAAATGCAAAGTAGAATTGTTGTCTTCAATTCTAGGTTTACTAGGATCTTTCTCTTTCGAAATATTCTAATCCTGAGGTCGGATGCGGAAGTTGTAGATGGGATCTCTTTTTCAAAGTCTTGAGATAAGAGATAGCTTGCTCACTACCAGTGAGGATAGAGCATAGCCAGCTTTCTAGCAGAAAATCACATGTGCATATTCGAGTTAAAAAATCTATGCTTATCTGTTGCGTTTTTGTGGTTTTATCTGCTTCATGACTTAGATGAGTTTTCCCTGCGATTTTATGGTTCTACTGTTGTCTTGTCTATTGCCTTCTGTGCGATCTTCCCAATTTTTTCTTTTTCTTAGGCCTGTCAAACTATGTCGTTAATTTGCAGTTCTCTTACGTTTGCTCATGCGTAATGGATAGTTGCCTGCATGTCATTTTGACTTGACGGCTACACTATGTCAGTCAACCTTAGAGTTATGGTTGATTCCGTGTTTCACTGTGATTGCAGGTTTCTCATTCTTCAAGTTGTCTATATAGATTGAGCAGGAATCTTTACACTGTCTTTTGAGCCAGAGTTAATTTTGTATTAGATTCGGTTGAATAGATGTGGGGAAAAAATAACTGAAGTTGCAAAATCATGTGACAGAAAAAAGAACAAAAAATTTGAAGAAAAACAGTGCAGAGTTTCTGTTGTGTGGGTGAAAAAATGTGTGCTGTGGAGGAAAAAGAACCAAAAGAGAAAAAAAGAAAAGGAAAGATGGAAAAAAAAAATAAGAGAATGAATGAAAGAAAAATGCGAAACAAGTGGCACATGGAGAAAGAGTCGAATATTGAAAGTCGAGGATTGGAATATTTGAAAAGAATGTTCTGCATTGGTGAGAGAGATGTTGGATGGCTCGAAAGTAATTGATGATTTACTAGGACTTGCATAGAATCTATGGGCTCTCATACCCTTGCTACTGTTCGTGGTGGTGGTGGTGTGTTGGTGCTGGTGCCGGTGATTTGGCCTCAGGACTTCTCGTGATATAGCAGACCTGGTGAGGGGCGTTCGGTTGTGTCTTCCTCGTGTCCTTAATCTATTGTTTATATTTATCGACAGTTATCCTCTAAATTATCGATAAGATTTGCTCCTCAATAGACCCCTATATGTTATTCTACTGTATGGTAGTTGATCATCTAATGCCAGTGGACCCTACTTAGTGGATTAGTTGTTCTGGTTTATCCTTTTTCTTAGATAAAGAAAGCTATTATTTGGATCTTTTTTGATTTTTCATTTTGCTGACTAAAAACTTTTGGAGATTCAGCAGAATTTTATTAAGTTTGGCTACTTGTTATTATTGAGTTTCTATCTTCATCTTCATTTGTGCAGTTTGGGAGGTATAATCTTTTGGTTAAATACCAAAAGCAAACCTTACCTTCACTCAATGACCACTTACATACTTTTACTTTTGAAAATACCAAGTACATACTGAGTTTACCTTTGGAGACCACTTTTGCACCTTCAAATAAATTATCCTTGTGTCTCTATTTATGAAAATGTTGTTTTTTTTTTCCGAAAATGCCCATCTGCAAATCCTAAATTCTGACAGCCACCCAAAACACTCAAAACCAACTAACCCTAAGCAAGATGCTAAAGTGAGTTTGCAAGGAGGGGCAATTTGGTCTTTCCAATGTGAGGTTTTGAAAATATTATGCTGGTCTACTGTTTCTGTTTCGGAGTAGAATCTGTCTTTGGTATTTGTCTCTGATTCTAGGTTTATGCAGGTGCCTTAGCCTTTTGTTCCGTGGTTTAAGTTATTATGGTTTTGAGACCTGCTACACAGAGCAAGAAATATACATGTCATGGACTCATGTCCCCGTGATGATGATTCTTTGACCTCTAGAACCTGTTAGTCTGTTCTGCTTATTCAGAACACATTCTTTAAGCTCTATCACCAGCCTGCAAGTCAACACTGACAGCCTGCACTTTAGATGCTTAATTTTGGCTACAGACTGTTCACTCAACTTGAGAGTGTGTTCTTTAATCTGAATTAATTAATTGGGGTTGCTGAGTTATTTGATTTGGAGGATGTGCATAGATGAATTTGAAGTTTGCTGGATATATAGAAACAAGCTACGCAAGTTGTGTACACCCTATGGGGGCTGTGTTTGAAGTTCCATGTTGCTCAGTTGGAGTTGACATAAGATGATTGTCTGCGAATGATGGTTGGAGCAGCAGAAAGGGAAAATTAAGATATAGTATACTTTCTCCTACTTAGTAGGTACTAAAAAGACAGGCTGGGTTGATGCCTTAAATTCTCTTTCATGATGAGCTAGACTTCAAAATTTTATCAATTCCATTCTTAAGGAGCATTAATAGAACTTGCTAAATTTGTTCAATGTGGTTTACAATTGACTGAAGAGATATTTTGTGGAACCCCCCTGATGATTAACCAGAAAGAGAGATCTCAGAATCAGTCATGAAACTATTGTTGTTAAGCATGTAATTTCTGTCAATCTTTTGTCATAGATGAGGATATGGCTTCATGTATATGTGCATTTATGACAAAGGCGCCGTCATGAAATACTTTTTATTTTGCCTAATAAGAGACGATGGCTGATGTGAACCATGTACTTTAATATGCATGTTGGCATATGCTCATTCGAAAAGCATGTTAAGTCAGATTTTTCATTTTGTTGGCTAGATGCATTGTGCCAGTGAAGGCCTGTGACTTAAAGTGGTGCTTGCAGGTTGATTATGCTTGTACCCCTGAAGAAGTGCAGCAACATTTTCAATCGTGTGGTACAGTCAACCGAGTGACAATTCTTACTGATAAATTCGGCCATCCAAAGGGCTTTGCTTATGTTGAGTTCCTTGAAGTTGAAGCTGTTCAGGAGGCTCTCGTTCTGAACGAATCTGAATTGCATGGACGTCAGCTGAAGGTAAACTCTCCTTATTTATAATTTGTGACATTAACCTTAGCAACATTCAAGATATTCCAGTGGCATGCCATTTTTTTACAGCTATTCTGCTGAATATGCAATACTTGACTTCCAACGTACCATAGAAGTTTGATATCTTCATCTCGTAAGACTTTTAACTTGTCCATATGTCAGAATTTGAGGGCACAGCACTTGTCAGTGACCATAAGCTTGTTATGGATAGTATATGCTGGTTCTAATGTCATAATGGAGTCGACCTTCGCATAAATTTAGGTTTCCATTAACTAGTTTTCTCACACACTTGTTAAATATACCTTAAATAAAATAATTCAGTTATGAAAGTAGTGGTTACACATGACACAAGAAAAGTTAGTACATTAGAAACTGTAATATTTCCTTAATTAATTTACTAAGTGTCCATGTGAGTTAACAAAACCTATATATGGTGCCTTTTTTTTTGGACGTATATATATGGTGCATTTGAAGAGGTGTATTGGTGCCGATTTCAGCATCTAGGTGATAAATTAATTTTTGTATAACAACGATTATTTGATATTTACTACGATGTGAATGACTTAGGTTTTGCCAAAACGGACCAATGTTCCTGGGATGAAGCAGTACTTCCCAAGACGCTTTAACCCGTATGCAGGTTACAGGTTCCGGAGGCCGTATGTACCTCCTTATTTCTACTCTCCGTATGGATATGGGTAGGTATCTCGTGTTCTCCAAAGTCGTTAATCTACTGGTGAAGGAGGGCTTGTCGGTTGATTCTACTGCCTCATGCTATTTGCAGGAAGGTTCCCAGGTTCAGAAGGCCGGCGCGCTACATGCCTTATTACTAGAAGTCATGCATCGTCTGTTGGCGCTCTCGCAATTCTTCGAAAAGTGGGTACTTCCACAATATGTTCCGTTTCATTCGGGAGATGCATCTAGCGGAACTGCATGTTCATTAGACTCTGCTCCTAAATATTGTCGACCAAATGACTTGAGAGATTATAAGTCTGGATTATTGGCTGTGACTTCTAGACATTTCTCCGTGATCATAGCTAAAATTTAAAGCAGCTTCGAGAGGCATGCCTTTTTTCTCTCTTTTCTCACTTTCGACGTGGCATCTCTGCTAACATAGAACAGGTTTGGTCTCAGCTTGCTTTGAAAAAGGATTTCGTTAACTACTGCCCCAAGTACACTCGTTAAAGATCCAAATAAAAAAAGTTTGTTATCTTCAAAGCGTTGTATTTCATGATTCCAAAAAAAAAAAAGAGTCGAATTCAGAATTTGACTGGGCCAGAAAGAAAAAAAAAAACGGACGTGTTTCTACCTTGTTCTTGAAAGTGGTGTATGCTGCTATATTCATTACACACTCGGAGGTTGTAGTATATGAATGAGTATTGCGCGACTCATCCAAGTTGAAGAACTGTGTTCCAGGAAGAAAACCATGATCGTAAAACATTATTATTCAGGTTCTTTCCCGTCGTCGACATAAGTTTTATTCGACTATTTGACTGGCGGATAGGTGTCGATAAATGAATCATTCAAGAGGGACTCTCTCAACCGACTGATGTGAGACTTGGGACACGAAAACTCCTCCATTTGAAAAACTCACGTTCTTGTCAGTGGGGGCACACATCACCCACCGGTGCTCCATCTATTTGATGTGTGGTGCGGTCCATTTCTGCCTCTTCCATCGTTCTAAAAGTCTATCAAGAGCCGCACCTGGTTCGCTCACTCTTTCTTCGGCGATCACTTCCCACTCTCACTAAATCGAGCATTTGCCTACTGTTATTATAAAAATAATTTATGATAAAGCTACCTAGTCAAATGATCTCGCTATTCAAAATTTCAGCCCTCGGTTGGAGTAGGGGCAAGTTTCACGTAATCTCCATGCGCATAATTTACATGGAAATTGAAAGCAAAGGGAGGGTCGAATTTCCACGTTTGGCCCACATAGCTAGTTTGGCAAGCTACCCAGTCAAATGATCTCACTATTCAAATTTCAGCCCTTGGTTGGAGTAAGTGCAATTTTCACGTAATCTCCATGCGCATAATTTACATGGAAATTGACAGCAAAGGGAGGGTCGAATATCCACGTTTGGCCCACGTAGCTAGTTTGGCATCACTAGACTCTACCTTAGCCCTGAAGAAAACTTATTAATCATCCTATATTTCAAAACATTTATGATAATTTATACTTTAATCACAAATTTGGAAAAATAAATAAATGCTAAATGTTAATACTGCTTGGATTATTAAATGATGAGAGTTTAAAAGTGTTGAATTTATGCATTACTTATCAGTTGGCTAATTATATATTTATCCTTCATGTGTAGTTCGGATTGAGTATCAGTGGGGACTCGAACCGAATCGGACCGGACCATTGACGTCACTACTTATGACTATGTATAATGACATCCCCAAATAAAAACGCATGCAATCTATTTGATGTGTGGTCCGGTCCATTTCTGCCTCTTCCATCATTCTAAAAGTCTGTCAGGAGCCGTACGCTAGTTTGGCATCACTAGACTCTACCTTAGCCCCGAAGAAAACTTATTAATCATCCTATATTTCAAAACATTTATGATCATTTATACTTTAATCACAAATTTAAAAAAAATAAAGAAATGCTAAATGTTAATACTACTTGGATTATTAAATGATGAGAGTTTAAAAGTGTTGAATTTATGCATTACTTATCAGTTGGCTAATTATATATTTATCCTTCATGTCTAGATCGGATTGAGTATTAGTGGGGACTCGAACTGAACCGGACCGGACCGTCGACGTCACTACTTACGACTATGTATAATGACATCCCCAAATAAAATCGCACGCAATCTATTTGATGTGTGGTCCGGTCCATTTTTGCCTCTTCCATCATTCTAAAAGTCTGTCAAGAGCCGCACCTTGTTCGAGCACTCCTGCTTCGTCGATCACTCCCCACTCTCACCAAATCGTGAATGGGGCCTAGTTTGTTCATGAATCATGCATTTATTGCTTCCGTAACAATCTAGCTCGTTCCAAGTGGGCCAACCCCTAAAAGGAATACTCTCATTAACCACAAAACGTGGTGGCTGTTTGAGGGTGAGTATTGAGTTAGAAATCACTTAAGAAGACGCCTCCCGATTGACGTATGGGTTTTTGACTACGCAAAAAGAAGATAGAGACGTCATGAGGGCTGGATCGACGCACACGAAATGTGAAAAAGTTCAAGTATCTACTACAAACCGAGCACATGTGGGCATAAAGAAACATGGGCTAGTAAAACATTTTTCAAAATCATAAGAAAGTTCAAGAATTGATAAGAAGCAAGTTCGAGGGCTGAAAGTGATGAGGTTGTCAAGAATACCCAATCGTAAGGTCTAATAATAAAATCATAAGATTTTACAAAATAATTATTAGGAAAAATTACCTAACCAGTTTTAAACCTATTGTACGGATGCCAATTTAATCGTAAACTTTTATATGAAATTCCAATGTAATCATTTTGATCAATTTTTGTCGGAAATTACTGACGTGGCAGTCTAGTCATCGCCGGTCGTCCTACGTCGCACGCCGCTGAGTTAGCGATTTTCGACGAAAATTGTTCGACAGGACTATATCAGAATTTAGGCCAAAGGTTGAGAACAAAATTGACAAAATTGAAATGTTTAGATCTGAATCGACATCCATAGAGTACGTTTAGGACTTATCAGACAATTTTCCAACTTATTATAAAAATAATTTATGATAAAGCTACCTAGTCAAATAATCTCACTATTCAAAATGTCAGCCCTCGATTGGAGTAGGTGCAATTTTTACGTAATCTCCATGCACATAATTTACATGGAAATTGAAAGCAAAGGGACGGTCGAATTTCCACTTTTGGCCCACATAGCTAGTTTGGCATCACTAGACACTACCTTAGCCCCGAAGAAAACTTATTAATCATCCTATATTTCAAAACATTTATGATAATTTATACTTTAATCACAAATTTGGAAAAATAAAGAAATGCTAAATGTTAATACTACTTGAATTATTAAATGATGAGAGAGCAAAAGTGTTTAATTTATGCATTACTTGTCAGTTGGCTAACCATATATTTATCCTTCATGTCTAGATCGGATGGAGTATCAGTGGGGACTCGAACCAAATCGGACTAGACCATTGATGTCACTACTTACGACTATGTATAATGACATCCCCAAATAAAAACGCATGCAATCTAATTAGTAGATGAGAGAGCAAAAGGTTGAATTTATGCATTATGTATCAGTTTCAACTTCGAATGTTGAAAACCATGTAATTTCTAGGGTTAATACTGCAAAAAACCCAAAACTGGTACACTTTTGACAAATTTATTCAAAACTAATTTTTTGATCATCAAAAACCCCAAACTGGTACACCCGTGACAAATTTACCCTCTGTTAGTTTCTATTAAATTGGATTAATACCACGAAAAATCATAAACTGGTACACCTGTAACAATTGAATGATAAAACCCCAAACCGGTATACCCATTAACTGCCATGTGTCATTCAACTCAGCAAATTGATGGTAAAATTTAACCGAGACTAACGTAGGGTAAATTTATTACAGATGTACCAATTTGGGGATTTTGGTGATCAAAAAATTAGTTTTCGATTAATTTGTTATTGGCATCACAGTTTGAGATTTTTCGTAATATTAACCCTAATTTTTATCTTATATTTGATCAAAACATTAACTTAAACTTTGATAGGAGGCTACTGTTTCAAAATAAGCTCGAAAATGGGCAACAATCCTTTGTTACCGAGGAAGAAGATCGAGATCAACAAAGTTCACCACCAATGCTTAAAGGACGAACCACCTACTAAGGATAAAGAACTTCGGAATAGAGAAGCTCACCACCATTCGAATATAAAAGGCTTTTTGACTCACCACCAAGGAGTAATCCACTCTTTAAAGATAAAAAAAACCGGAATAGGAGTTATCCACTCTCCAAGGATATTCACTCAAACAGAGGAAAATCTCATATATTTATGTACTCAAAATTGTTGTGTCTTACAATAAGATTACACCTCCATTTATAGATATATTGCTAAATAAATGAAAAGACTCTTCGAATTCCCGAAAACCGAACAGACTCTCTGAGAATTCACCTAATTAAGACTTTTAAAAGCAACACCACAATAAAGACTCATAAAAAACTGCGAATAAAGAGTTCTAAATGCATGTGACTAATTATTAGATGCATAGAAATCTGATGAGACTCTCTAAATTCGTGTACCAGCCTTAGAAGCCGAACAATCACCGTAGAAAGTCATCAAACAATGGTAGAAATTGAACAAAATAGCCTCCAACCAATAGGTTGTCGATTGGGAGTCTTGAAATCGGCAACAAACTTGTAAATCAACAACCAAGTCGCATAATCGGCAAGCTTCATCCTTGGATCCAGGTGATTAAATTGCAGCGTGAATTGGTTTTTGTTTTTATGAATAGTACATGGGTCGGTTTAGTCGACAAAATATGAGTTGAGCTTCTTGGTTGATCAATAGAATCTGATGCTGCCACATCAATTTGCCCCAAGGATCAGGGATAATCTATGCTTATTTTGAAATAAGTAAAATGAAGTAACTCTACAAGAACCTAACAGCAAGAGTTTGCTACAATCTTTTGTGATGCCGCGTTATATATTAATCTTTGTATCACGGTATTATTCTTCTATCCAACAACGACTGATTTGATACGTATGTAAGTTTATCTGTATACCCAAGGACCAAGGGTTATTCCTCGGTCTATCATATAATGTGATACCTAAATTATATTTATCCAAGAAAAAACTTGTACAAAATTTATACTTTCAGGAAATTAATGATAGATTAAGACGCCGGGGATCTTGGGTTTGAAAACAAACAAAAATTCAATAAATAAAGAAGGACTCAAATATCTTATAGCAAAAACACGTGCTTAGGGTAATACCTTTTCAACCGTCTTTTTACCCGTTCTTAGTGAAGACTAAGACGAAGAAAATGAGAATTTTCACGATAAATTTAAGATGCCGGACATCTTGGATTAGAAAACAAGCAATAATATATAAGTAATAACACCAGAACGCCAAGTACTTCATAGCCAAGCTGAGGCAGGTTGACATTCCTGAAGACAATGAAGTCATTTAAGCCCCCACTAAACCTTAAAAAAGGCTGACCAAAAAAAGAAAAAAACTTTAAAAAAGGAACAGTAGAAGTCAATGAATCTTGTCCCAGCTTTCTCTCTTGTCCAGAAGTCGACCAACGATACAACCGCCCTCCCCTTTCGACATCTTCTCCTCTTAACAAATATTGTTGACGTGGGCCGTCCGTCGACAATATACTAATCCCCACAAGATACAACCGTCGTATCATCTCGGCCGCATTTGATAATCGATAGTTGGATTGAATTTTGTAACATGGCATCAGAGACAGGTTATGTCCCGATTTATCTCGCATGTGCATCCTCTCCTCTCATCAAATTCCATGCGTCATCCCTGATCCGGTTTGTACGTGAGAGAGGGTGTTAAAATAGCACATATCGCTTGATTACGAGATTTATATAAATTTAATCTCCCCCCATTTATAAATCTCCCCAGGCCATTCTGGAGATTTATATAAATTTAATCCCTGATCCGGTCAATTTTGGCTGGAAATCGCTAACGTAGATGGTAGACATCCTATGTGGCGCGACCGGCGTCGACGTGGACATTTTTTAATAATATTTTCATAATTTTTTGCTCTTTTCTTTTCTTTTCTTTTTTTTTTCCTTTCATTTTGGCCGACCACTAGTAAGGGTCGCAACCCGTTGCTAGATCTGAGCGAGAGTTGCTTTGCCCAGAGCCGGTAGGGCCGCGAGAGAGGTGGCCCTTGCCCAAATCCAGCGAGTACCTACGCGCCATGGCTCGTGGTCGGCAGGGCGACAAAGGCCTTGGGGGAGGGGCTTTGCGCCCTTGCCTAGTGCCTTCACAGCCCCGCTAATCCTAAGCGAGGCGGCCCTCGCCCAAATCTAGCGAGGATTGTGACCCTCGCAAGCAATCAATGAGGGCTTGCTGGCAACGAGTCCTCGTCAGCCAAAATGAGAGGAAAAAAAGAAAAAAAAATCAAATTTCAATTTTTTTCTTAAAAATTGTTTACAATAGTGCCGCCCGTGCCATATAGGACGGCTAGCGTCCGCGTTAGCAATTTCCGGCCAAAATTGACCTGATGGACTTAATTAGAAAAAATATATATGAAAATGCATTGACCCAATTGAAAGGTTTAGGACTGAATATGCATAAATACAATAGGTTTAGGACATTTTTGGTACTTTTCCCCAGGTGGAGAGCACACTCACAAAAGCAATCCATCTTATCAAGCTAATAGTTCAACCTTAAACATCTAACGACATCAGGCCTTTAGGAAGAGAAGGAAAATGTTTTAGAAGAAGTAATATCTAAGAGAGAGAGGAATCCCAATGAAGCATCAAGCATCATGTGGTTCACGCTAGCATCTGCTACCTAAGGATTTTCTAGCTGCAACTCCACCAAAATAGTGCCACAATCAGTCCTAGCCAGAAGTATTAGAGACTCATATGATGTAATTTCTCTGCTGACAATAGATAAATTCAATTCCGAGCATCACAACCAATAAGCCCACTCACCTTGTGCATAGTTTAAGAATATGCACTTTTTACCCTCCTATTGACCTTACCAGTACTCATTCAAATTAACATGTCTCTCTTTTTTTTTTTTTTGGTCGAAATAGAACGCTATAAAATAAAACTAAAGAGTTCTTGAAACTACAACCCGGCAGAGGGGCATCAAAACATAACAACTCCCATAACGGTTGGGAGGGACGGGCAATCCAAAATAAATTCAGAGAATTTCTGCGATGCGCTTTGGCGATCCAATCAACAGCTTGGTTCGCGGATCTGTTACAATGGGCCACGGTTAATTTATTGAACTGGGCCATACGGAGCAAGGCTTCGTGAACTATAGCGTCCTCTTCCCAGCCGACTTGACTCTGGTCATTCAGCAAGATTACCATATGGAGATAGTCTGTTTCCAGAACTATTTGCTCGCTCCTCCAGTCAGCGAAGAATTGAAGCGCATGCAGCAACGCTTGTAGCTCTGTGTGCAACGGCGAAGTCGCCGGGACTGTTCTAGCGAAGCCGTCTAGCAAGGTTCCAGTCGCGTCTCTGAGGATTGCCGCTACTGCTCCTTCTGTTGCATGTTCAAGAAAAGCCCCATCGATGTTGATTTTGAAGGAGTTCATCGCCGGTGGGTTCCAATTCAGAGGGAATGGAACCTTTTCAGTATGCAGATTAGAACTCTGGTGATTCCACTTGCTGTAGTTTTGAGACATCGTCCTTGCCGACTCAATTAAGGTTCTCGGATTTGGGGGTTTTTTCCGAAAAAAAAAATTCATTTATGGCCTTCCAAATCAACCAGAAGATAATGGCAATCTCATCTAGTGTAAGCAGTTTATGTGGCTGTAGCTGATAGTTTTGAATCCATACCTCAATTCGTGTTATTTCTGTACGTGCGATTTTGATATGAACTGAAGGTGCTGTCCAAATTGCTTCGGTCCAGGGGCAGATAAGAAAGAGGTGCTCCACAGTTTCAGCCTCTTGATCACAGAAGGGGCAAGCTGGACGAGGTAAGATCTTCCTCCTGTAGAGGTTTTCTATCATTGGGAGCGCGTTTTGGCACATACTCCATAGAAACAATCTTACCTTGGGAGGGGTATTTAGTTTCCAAATTCGGCACCACAATTTAGTGGAAGGTTGGAAAGAAGATGATGCCTGCTTTTCAATCTGTGGAAGTTCTATATCACGAATCTTATTATAAGCACTTTTCATTGAAAATTCTCCCAACTTTGTAGCTGTCCAGACTAGTTTATCTTCTGTTATTCTGCTGCATAGAGGTATGGCTAACACCTCATGAACAATGTGGTCTTCAAATAGTCTTGTTAGCATATCTACATCCCATGTTCTGTCCTCGTGGTTGATTAGGTCTGAGACTTTTACCGGTTCTTCAAGGGTTTCTGGTTCTCCCAAAACTCCTCTTTTTAGCCACCTGTCTTCTCGAATACTGATTTTGTCCCCCGTGCCAACCGACCATATGACTAAATTTGATATCTTTTCCCTTCCCAACAGAATGCTCTGCCATCCCCAAGAGGGCTGAGACCCCTTCCCAGCCTGCCAGAACGATCTTGTAGGGAAATATAGTCCTTTGAGAATTTGGCTCCATAATGATGATTGGTTTTGGGATAGCCTCCATGCTTATTTACCAAGCATAGCTCTATTGAAGGATATGAGGTCTCTAAATCCCAAACCCCCTTTATCTTTTCTTGTTTTTAGAACTTCCCACCGCTTCTAGTGAAGACCTGACTTTGATTCATAATTTTTCCACCAAAAGGCTGCAACCCTTCTTTCTATGGACCGACAAATTGAAACTGGAATTTTAAATATTGACATCGCATATTGAGGAAGAGCTTGAACCACAGTCTTAATCAGCGTTTCTTTTCCTGCCTTTGAAACAAGCCTTTCCTTCCACCCCTCCAGTTTCATATTGACTCTTGCTAATATCCAACCAAACATTTGTTTTTTTTATTCACCCCAATCCGAGGGAATCCCTAGATATTTGCCGGTCTTCTTAATCTCTGGGACTCTAAGTTGAGTAGCCATATTATCTCTTAAGTTCAGTGGACAGCACGAGCTAAAGAAAATACCAGATTTGTTTAAGTTGATTTCTTGGCCAGATGCATAGCAATACTGATTGAGGATCAATGCAAGATTCTGGCATTCAATAAGCTTACCATCTAAGAAGAAGATGGAATCATCAGCAAAGAGGAGGTGAGATAGAACCGGACAATACCTGTTTAATTTTATTCCAGAGATTGTGCCATCGTGCACTGCCTTTCTCATCAAAACCGAGAGTGTGTTTGCTACCAATATAAACAAATAGGGGGATATGGGGTCCCCTTGTCTTATCCCTCGTGTTGGCTTGAAGTAGGGCAATGGTTCCCCGTTCAGTTTTACACTCAAAGAGACAGAAGTTACACATTGCATTACCCTCTGTACCCACCAGTCACTGAATCCCATTTTCAACATACTAGCTTCAAGGAAGTCCCACTCTACCCTATCATAGGCTTTTTTCATATCCAATTTCAACACCGCCTGAAATTTTCTTTTCCTTTTTCTGATTCTCATTTGATGTAGTACTTCTTGAACAATCAAAATATTGTCTTGGATTTGTCCACCGCCCACAAAAGCGGTCTGTTCTGCTTCTATTATAACCGGCAGCCACTTTTTCAATCTATTTGCCAGGATTTTCGAGATAATTTTGTATGCAAAAATGCATAGGCTGATTGGTCTGAACTGATCTAAGCCCTCTGGATTGGGAACTTTTGGTATCAAGGTGATATGGGTTGTGTTTAGTGTTGGATTCAGATTTCTAGATTCGAAAAACTTCTTCACTTCATCAAAAATCCGTTTTTTACATCGTCCCAGTTTCTTTGATAAAATTGGTCATTCAGACCATCTGGTCCCGGTGTCTTCAAAGCACCCAATTGAAATGCTGCTGTATGGACCTCCTCCATTGTGACTTGAGTTGTTAATTCTTCGTTCATCTCAACTGTGACTATAGAAGAACATTGTAGCAAAACAGGATAAAAGTCTCGGGGACCCTCTAAATGATAAAGCTATTGAAAAAACGCCACTATCATCTTCTTTGAGCGCCTGGGGATCTCGAATCCATACGTTGTCAGCATTTTTAAGCATAGATATTCTGTTCCTCTGCCTTCTCTGAATTGTTGTGGCGTGGAAATATTTTGTGTTCTTATCTCCCCATTTCAGCCAATTGATTCGAGACCTTATTCCTGGTACATTTCCTCCTGTCTCCACAATGTTTCAATCTGTTCAGTTATGGCCCTCTTTCTATTATGGTTCCCATGCACATTCTGATCATTTGTCAAGGCCATCAGTTCTTGTTTTAATGAATTGATTTGCTTGTGGCTGTTCTGGAAGTTGTCCCTACTCCATCTCGCCAATGCGATTGAGACTGCTTGTATTTTCTGCATTAGGTTAGATTCTTATAACCTATCTTGATTCCATATTCGCCTGATTAACCTCCCACAATCCTCATTTTCCAGCCAAAATGCTTCAAATTTAAACATTTTATTTCTCCTAATCGGTTCAGCTGATAAGACCAGTAAAATAGGGCTATGATCTGATCCGATGGTCAGTAAAGCAAAGACCTCAGCTTGAGGGAACAATATTCTCCATTCAAAGTGGCAAACAGCCCTATCCAGTCTTTCTTGAACATAATCCTGCCCTTCTCGATTGTTAGCTCAAGTAAATGTACAACCTTTACTTTCTAAATCCATTAATCCACAAGCATTGAGGAAATCTCTAAATGCGTTCATTCTATAGAGTTGTGGAGGTCGCTTCCCCCTCTTTTCCCAATAGTTCAAGATTTCATTAAAGTCCCCAATACACACCCAAGGCAAGTTGTTCTGTATGCTCAGACTTTTCAGCTCTTCCCATAATCTCATCTTTTCTTGAAACATTGTTGGAGCATGAACAAAAGTGGCCCTGAATTGTTTGGCCATCTCATCATCATGAAGAGTGATGTCAATGAACTCGCTCGTGGTTAAATTGACAGTCAAAGAAGTTCCATCCTTCCACAGCAGCGCCAATCCTCCCCCAATCCCTATTGGATTAACAGTATAGCAGTTCTGGAAATTTAAAGTTCTGCTTAGTCGCCGTACTAGGTGATTTTGGTTCTTAGTCTCCATAAGAAATACCACGTCGGGCCTTTCTTGGGCCATAATAGCCCTTAAGGCTTGAACTGTCAAGGGTGTGCCCAACCCTTGACAGTTCCAGCACAAAAGCCTCATTTGTAACCCGGTGGCTTATTAGGGCTAGCCACCAAAGCCCATTGTTCGGGTTCTTTTGCAATTTGCATCGGAGTGTCTAAGAGTTGTGCTTCATCCAACAAATGTTCTTCCCAACTTTTCTGATCATACGGTCTGTACCTTCTTCCCTTCTTATAGTTCCTTGCCTTCAGTTTTCTGTTTTTGCTTTGCAATCTTTCACTTACTTTCTGTGATGAAGATTGGTCAATCTGCAATGGAATAGCTGATTCAGGATCAACGTCTTCTTCGATTTCCCGATTGCTCGCTAAGGCGATAAGTTCCTTCTCAGTTAGTTTCCTCTTTCCCCTATCTTCTTGCATGTTATTCAGTCTGGTTTGTGAGTTGCTTGTACTATTTTGAACTAAGGTAATTTGTCCAGAATTTTGAGGGGTTTCCGGCACCATCTCCTGTTCCAACTCCTGCCCTTCTTCCCTCTCCAAAATCTCCCCATAAAAGGCATTCCAAAAGGGGCTAATGGAGCTCTCTTCAGCTTTTAACCAGGGCCCATAAAACATTTTTTCATCTATGGATGTTAATTCTTCATCATAAGGCATGAGTTCACAATTTTTTGCATAATGCCCTATTATCCCACAGGAATAGCAGAAATGGGGAAGTCTTTCATATTTAAAATCCAGCCAATGCTCCTTACCTCTAAAGCTAGAGATCATGCCCGATGAAAGGGGAGTCGACAATCTTAGCAGGACTCTAGCTCTCCCCACCGCAATTGATGCATATCATTTGGTTTCTATACGCACTTCTGAAACTTCCCCAATGTTTTCAGCAATTTCTCTAATTGCTTCTTCAGTTGTTCCTTCAATAGGTAAGCCATGAATTTGAACCCAAAAGTTACACGAGTAAAAAATAATGCACTGTGGAGGCGTACTTGGTTCCCATAGTTTGATCACCAGCAAATGACTTGAGAACGACCATGGACCAGAATTCAGTATTCTATTTCTTTCCTGGACAGACTCAAACTCAAAAGAAAACAGCCCAGGTTGTAGATGCTTGCAGATGACGGAGTTCGTTTTCCAAGCCTTCTTCATAGTGGCTTGAAAGGCTTGGAAATTGATAGAAGGACTTCCATGAAGTTTGCCAAACACTGTACATTCACACTCTTGTAATTTCGCTTCCATCACAACATCATCTAACACAGTAATTTTCCTACCAGTCCAGAGGTGTCCTAGCCTTCTACACAAAGCTGCCATCCTGAGGTCCCGTTCTCTGTTGTCTTCCATATTGCTGAAACTTGTGTGGTGAAGAAGACCTAACTTATAAAAGAGGCTATTTTCTTACATCTATGCTTCATACCTAGGTACCCCACAGCATTGCGTTACCAAGGGGGGCAAGGGGACCTACCAGAAGCAGCTGTTGAACCCTGATGAACGATCTTTTGTTACGGACATGATTCTTTCCTTCAAATTTGTAACTGCTGTTATTGACCTACGAAGGGGAGAAAGACTGTTGCCTTGCACATCTGGAAAGGTATTTCACAATAGGAGGAGTCGAGTCTTCCATCCACGAAAGCTGGCGTCAGATTTTGGGCGTTTAGCTGCGGTGGTGCCTATCTTCTTCAACGCGGTTTCTTTGACTCTTGAAACAGCTTAAACAATGGTTTGGGGTTGATGTAAGGGCTGGGCGAAAGAGAAAGCGAATGCTGTGATAAGGGAGATGGATTCTTGGGTTTTGAAGGAAGTTTGGGGTTAGGGCAAAGCTATCCAAAAGATAGAGAGAAACTCTACACGCGAGAGAGAGCACATGTCTCTCTCTTTGCTGAGTTGAATGTTGTGCCTAGATAATTGTTAGATAAATTATCAGGACAAAAATATAAATATAAAATTTCTCCCAAAAGACTAATAAAATCACAAAAGCACAGAAATTTGAGTCGACATGCCGGGCTAGTGATTGTGTTCGAAAATAAAACCCCTACACGTATCTACCAAACAAGTGTTGCAAGTCAAGGCCCACGTGGATTAAGTGGAAATCGTTTGTTCACTTACATTTGAGAATGTGATAGGATAAGAAATCTCTCTATTATAATGGATTTACTTGCTTAGAATGTCTATTATCAGCAACTTTACCGACGAGTTGTCAATTCCCTTTAACTTGTCGATTGTTTTGTACATTGATCACGAAACTCTGCCTCCATCGACTAAATCCGTCACTTATCGATACTAAATAAAAATTGGTCAATTTAGGGATGATTCCAAGGGGAGGACTGAATATGCTCAACTAATATCATGATGGGTTTCGAACCAGTTGTCATCCGGCTCTCCATCCATATCTGTCGTTGCATTTTGTAGGTCTGTCGTATAAATTGAGATCCTACAATATGCAAAATCTCCTTAATTAGAATGGATTTTGAATGCCCTAAAGCATCCGGAAATGTCAAATGACCATCTCGGCTCTTCCTGTAATCTTGAAATGAGGGACTAGAACATAAAAACTTTGCAGGCTGCTATCATTTGGTATGAGAGGGATCCTCAACAACCATGGCTGGATTCGCATGCTCTACTTCTTCACATGTATCTTGAGTTTGAAAGAAAGTGACCGCGGAGGTTAGAATAACTCTCTAGTCCATACTATATAGATATGTTTCACATGCAAGCTCTTTCGAAATCCTGGGCAGGCTTGGCCAATTGACAGAGATACCGTGCCCAAAAGTCATGATAATTTAACAATTAAGTTGCTTGATTTAAGTAACCAAAGAACTATTAATGGATGGTGCTGGATACCGCAAGTGTCAGTAAAAAAATTCAAATGTATGTACGCGTTGTAAATTCCGCTGAAAATAGTAAAAAGGTACGATCCATGAGAGCCTCCAAAGACCAAGCTGCCTTTCTTTGAATACTTTCAAAGCCCACGTTCAAATTCTTGCTCCCTATCAATACCCCTACGACAGTGCCATCTTCTTAATCTCCAGTCGAACAGCTCCAAGAGGAGAGAGAGAAGAAAGCAGCGGCGGCGGCGGCAAATCTTCTTATTTGCAATGGAATCTCCTTCTCCCGTCCATGTGCCCAGGTGGACTCCGAGATCGAGTCCCACAATTTCATCGCCGCCTCGTGAGAAAGCCCGCAACAACGACGGAATACGGGGCTCGGCTTCCGAAGGAGATGATGATGGCCTGTCCACCGGAGGCCACGAGGTCGTCTTTCCATTCAGTATCGGCTACGCCGCTGCTCAAGACGCCCATGACGACGAAGCACCCCCGTGGGGAGTCCATGGCGGAGGCAAAGGAGCGCGACCCGACCCGTCTACAGGAGCGCACGAAAATTGGAACGGGATGTTCTTGACGTGGAAGGACTTGCAGGTGACGTTGACGGACCGGAGAAACGGGACACGTCCCATATTGCAGGGGCTCACCGGATATGCGGAGCCGGGTCGGATGCTGGCCATCATGGGTCCATCTGGCTGTGGCAAGTCAACTCTCCTCGATGCCCTAGGAGGTTCGTATCAGAATAAATCTCTCTTTCGAGTCTCGACAACAT